ACCCCATGGTATAAGTCAAAAATGAGGTTTTAACCCTTTTTGTCACAATAAGTAAAGTTGTAGAGGAGGCAAAAATACGCATATAACGTGAGGTTTCAAGGTTTATTTATAAGTGTATAAGGTATAAACTGCGTTTTATTCAATTCTCTGGTAGCATTTTTATTATATAAAAATTTCCAAAAAGGGGGTGCGTTTAAAACGCAGGCGCGTTCAAATTTTAATCCCTTCATAATATTAAAGTTTTTTTGAAAATACTTCTAAAAATTTAATCAAAAAAATGAGGGTGAATGAAAAAATAGGGAGAGTAAAAGGGAATAAAAGAAATGAGGGGGAGTGAAGAAGGAACGAAATGGAGCAAAGGGGAATAAAAAATGAAAGGAACAAAGGGTAGTGTAAAATTGTGAACATGTCATATCAACAACAAAATAAGGCTTGCAAGGGATGTCATTGTACTAGAGAATTTTTTAATGAAAAAGGAATGATTTTGAAAAAATGTTGCAAACACTAAAATAATATTGCAAAATCACATTCAATAAAAAATAAAAACAGTAACTTGATATGATTATTAGTTATGCAGGATATAACAGAAACAATATATAATTAATTCCTAAGTAATACTAATGAACTTTATGAAGGAGAAAATACTGAACTAAGCATGAGTTTTGATATTGAGCTATCAACGTTAGCTAATAGTGAAAGATATTGATAATTCTTGACAAAGAAAATATATCAGAGGAAAACGTGATTGATTATATTAACGAGTTAGAGTTTTGGTGTTTAAAGATCAAGACGTGATAGAAGTGGACGATCGCAACTTCTGGAATCTGTTATCAAAACAATTAACTGAATGTGAGATCGTAACAAACGATGTCATTCTGACGTATCGACAGTATTATCTTTTTTTTTTAGGGCAAGGTTTTTTTTAGGATAGTTTTCGTGTATATGGATTTTTTGCTATATATCGTAGATAGTAATTTATTTTACAAAAATGTACGTGGTGCACCACGTTGTCAATGCAACTAGCAAAATAACCATTACAAATCTTTATTTATTTTGGAACAGTTAATTTATATTTAGAGTCCAACAGTATAAAGGGGTTAACTGTTAGTTTTTACAAGTGACTGACTAAAGGAGAAGGTTGATTAACTTTGTTTAGTGATGCGAAGAATAACAAAGGTTGGTATGGCAGAAGATTACATTTTTAATTCTAGAATTTTAAATGTAGTTATACAAACATTTTGTATAAGTTTTCTTCACCTTATTCAAATAAAATCATAACGCTCTTACCAAAAAAAAAAAGAAAATATTAATTGTAAATTGGGCGTTATATAGTATCTCTTGTATCAGAAGATGATGAGTACATATGGGTTTACCATATTAAGAACTAGAAAAAGCACACTCTTCTTTTGACATAGCATGTTTAATATTTGTAATATATAAGAACAAACTATTTAACGAAAATCAAGTTAACAATTATAATATTCGCAAATAAAATACATAATCTGTTAGGCGAAAGTAAGTAAAATGTAATATCTTAATAGCTTATTTTAATAAATAATAAAATTAAAAGTAATAAAATATTTTTGTTAACAGACTATACAACTTATATTTGTTATAATATGTAAATAATCAAACAGATCATGTGCGCAGATCAAGTTTAACCTATCGACAAATCCGGCTACCATTTTTTTATGGTAATGTTAGGGTTTTTTGGAATTGTACATTTCCCTATATCCTTTCAAGGACTATTATGATACGTAAAAACATATCCAATTTTTTTATAGGGAAAGAACTAATCATTTTTATTTCGCAATGTATTATTTCATTGATTATAGAAATGAAAATAAATAATTAATAATTAATATTCTATTTATTCTAAAAAGTATAAATATTTTATCTACAAAATCAGTAATATATCATATTATTACTATATCAATGTTTTAAACTGTAACCATGATAAAAAATTGATTTATTATTAATATAAATATCTATATTTTATCTTTGGAGCTGGATTATAAAGCCTTAGTTTGTAATTTATAATGTTAGTCATTCCATTAAAATAATTTAAAAACTAATTGACATAAAATTATTGTATACAAAGTATAGATTATCTATAGCAGAGTGTTTGAACCCGCGGTAGGGATTAACATAGATTAACCAAGTGCGCAACGTAAGGTTAGTGCTTTTACACTTTATTACAATAAAAGCAATTTTAATAAGTAAATAAACAAACATTAATTTTAATGAAATGGTTTTGCAACCTCAACCGGAATGGCTCATCCTCAATGTAATTTAGCCAGAGAATATTTGGACCATTTGTGGACATGTTCTTGCACTCTTCCCTCGTTCAATCATAAAGAAACACATCAATTGCTTGTAGATGCTCTCCGCACTAATTTGCTTCAGGCACTTAAAAGTACCACATCTTTGATACCGCTACCTGATAATTTCGCTCATGAACTGCTGGATTGTTGGAATATGCGCCCACCTAACAACAATTGTTTATGGCTTACTAGAGGGTTGATTCCGTCTCCTTTGGCCAACTTACTTCACACTTATTTTTCTTCCAACACAATTATTAAGTGTTTGGCTCCGCTTATGTACGACTTCCATTTTAAATTGTATGTGGAAATTTGGATGTGCAGTTGTGCCTTTTTTCACCATTGGAAGCGCTCATTGTGACTCTCTTCAAAGAAATCGAAACCAACACAACACAAACCTTCTCCCTCTCCTTCTGCTCCTCTAAGAATAGATACATCACTTTCTAGTTTCTCCGGTGGCAGGGCATCTGGACTCCTGATGGGTTTCCTGGGTTTCCTCTTCTATAGTTCAAGGTGGATCATGGATTTCACATTTGGATTTTCTGCACCGCTTAACAGTTCAGCCTCTTGGTCTCAGGGCTTCTTTCGGATCGGATTGATTCTTTAGGATATGCTGGATAGTTGACTCACACTGACCTTTGGATAAAGTTTGGGTATGCGATTCTGTAATTGATTACTGGTTTTAGTCTAGTTTTCTTTATTGTATGGGTCGTGAAGCTACCCTTTTATTTTTATTTTGTTAGAATGTTTAATTTCGTTTTATTTAAAATTTAATAAAAATATTGTCGATAGACTGTTTGCACATGAAATGGTTTTGCATAGGATAAATTCAGTGCTGACAATTTTGTCAATGTTCTAACAATTTTGTCAGCTCAGTGCTGATCTTTTTTCAGTAACGGAGGACATTTTGTCAGCGCCGAGCTGGTATATTCCATTTTTTCCGTAAAAGCCCATATTTCCGGAATTAATAACCTTATATCACGGAATTTATCGAATTATTTACATTTTCCGTGAATGGATCAAATCCAGATATCAGAACTGTGAAAACCTGTATGGTACGCCTGATCACCTATATTAGGCACGGAGTATTCAATATGGAGGTGTGTGTCATTAGCCCTGTTCATTTCTAGATTGGACCGGATTGATCGCAAATTTGTACCCCAAAATAATTGGTTACTGATGCGGTCAGCGGTCGGTCAAGCCGATCTACAAAAATTGGTGTTTTTCCCTGATCAATTTTATAATAAACATAATCATAAACAACAACTACGTGTTTTTGCCCTATAAGCTATTATGGATATATAACCAATCCAATCAATCAAAAATTGTGCTCAATTGTAACTATGATCTGATTGGTTATACATTTTTTCAGTCAATCTGATATGATCTAGAAATGAACAGGGCTATTGTTGGAACTACCCCAAGAGCACCCCAAAAATTCTGCGTAAATCATGTGATCATCACATATCACATGATTTACGCAGAATTTTTTGGGGTAGTTGTAGTTGCTGGTTATAAATAACTTTTCTCTATATTTATTTATTTATTTATTATAATTTGTCGTTAATTCACTTAAAAGTAAATGTATATAATAATACTATATATTACTAATATCATACTATAAAACTAACAAACTTATATAGCACCTAACTACTAATACTAACTATTTTTATTTTTCCTTTATTATACGTTGGTAATTTTTCACGATCTTCTCTAATTCTTTATCATCCTCTTCGTTAACATCGTTTTGATTATTACCTATTTCATCCTCATTTTATAATCTACTTCGAAAAGACACGTTTAAATATTCATATTCTTGAACTTTTTATGTTAGAACGCCTCGTTTAACTGCTTCTTCTCATTCTTTCCTTGATATAACAATCTTGTAATTGCTGGTCTAAAACGTTTATGGAACCATCCGAAGCTCTTAATATCTTTTGGATTCCTATGAACTTTCCAAACTTTTTCAAGTCCTCCTTGTTCTATGGAATTCGTTATCTCTTCTATTCTTTCTTGATTTGTAAAAGTCGCCAAGAGTACTACTTTCCATTAAATCTTACTTTTTTATCCTTTATAGTCTTGTTTCCATAATCTCAAGCTCCTGTTTTATTCTCTCCTTTTTTTTAAGAAATTTATATTCTTGTCACTTGTATGCTTCTTTTTTGTCCTCGAGCGAATTATTTCTATTGAACCATTTAAACATATGCGGGGTCCCGTTTATATTCAATCCAATGAAACGACATTCCTTTGGCTGCGAAATCATTGTTGTAATCTTTCAATGATTTCATTTCAGCTTTAACGGTTTGAAATTTATAAAATTTTTTAATCTTTAGACTTTTAAATATCCTAATGCTTTTAAACTTAAGTGGCTACAACTTGTGCCAGAATAATAAATTACGTGATTCTTTTACTGTACATATCTTCCTTTGCTAACCAGAATAATTTCGGTAAATTATTTATGCGATTTCTTAGATTTTTAAGATTTACCGCAATCTTTTTTATGCACTCCTGAAGTTTATATTTCACAATTACGTCTTTGCTTATTTCTGTGTAACAATTCTCGTGAATTATTGCCGATCATGAAAATGAATATTTGGAAAATTTGGAAAACAAATGTACTAATTAAATGAATGATCGACACGGAGACACGCGACATCTATAAATATAATTTTTTTGTTTCACAAATACAATTTCACTAATTCTTAAGTTTCAAACTTTTGTAATTTAAATATGTCCGGATTTACTCTACCAACCGGAGATTCATATAATGAGTGTATTAATTGGATTGAAGAAGCTATTGGTAAAAAACATATTAAATATTATGAATACAACCAATTTAACAACATTGAAGAAATTGGTTCCGGGAGCTTTGGAACTGTCTACCGTGCGAAATGGAAAAATTCTCACAGTTATATAGCGTTAAAATCTTTTTTTAATTTAAACAATGTTACAATTAAAGAAATTGTTAATGAGGTAATAATAAATGTAATACAGTATAATATATCATTTTCATTTATTGTTAATTCTAATTTAAAATTATATTCATGATTTAGCTTAAACTTCAGCGTGAAGTGGATTTCCATGAGAATATTATTCATTTTTTTGGCATTACAACACGTATGATAAATATTATATTATGTAATATCAGCTTTATAAAATTTGAACTAAAGTTAAATGATTATTTTTTTTAATAGAAAATCAAAATGATAATTTTAAAAAATATTGGTTAGTAATGGAGTATGCTAATAATGGTACTCTTCATGAATATTTGAAGAGACATTTTGATACTCTTAATTGGAGCGATAAATTTAGTCTGGCACTTCAGTTAGCTCATGCTGTATTATGCCTTCATGATGAAGGAATCGTTCACCGTGATCTGGTAATTTATTTATATTTACTAATTTATATTATATTAAATTTATATATTAATTCATTTATTTAACATATTTAAATATTAAATAGCATTCTAAAAACATATTAGTCCGTCAAAATACCATCAAGTTGGCAGATTTTGGACTGTCAAAAAGGATTGATGAATCATATAGGACGCGATCAGATTTACTTGGTGTAGTTCCATATATTGATCCAAAAAAATTTAATATACAACCATATTCTTTAGATAAAAAAAGTGATATTTATAGTATTGGTGTACTTCTGTGGGAGATATCAAGTGGTCAGCTGCCTTTTGATGAAATATCATCTTATGGTTTAATTGTACGAATTCCACAAGGTCTTAGAGAAATACCTGTTCCCGACACACCTACTGCTTATGTTAATCTTTATACTGGTATGTGTTATTATCGAATGTTATTAAATTATCATTATTTTGATCAGATAAAAATTAATTATTTTTTTTTTTAGAATGTTGGGATGGAGAACCAGATAATCGTCCGACTATTAGCCAAGTAGTTGCCAAGTTAAAAGTATTAAATAGTAGTAGTCAAATTAACAATGATTTTAGTAAAATTGTTGATGAGATAATTAATCTCCCTAATAAGACTGGGGATGAAGTAGAAAAACAAGAAATTCTTAATTATCTCAAAAATCATAGTGTGACTTTAAAAGAAATTTATAATTGGTTATTAAATGATCGAAATAATACGAATTCTATTGTTCTACTTGGAGATTTTAATCTTTTTGGAATTGAAATTAATGTTGATAAAAAAAAAGCATTTGAATTATATCAAAAGGCTTCAAATTTAGGGAATACAGATGGAGTAGCTAGTTTAGGAGATTGCTATTGGAAAGGAGACGGAACTGATGTTGATAAAAAGAAGGCATTTGAATTATATCAAAAGGCGGCAGATTTAGGAAATGCAACTGGAATAAATAATCTAGGATATTGTTATGAAAATGGAATTGGAACAAACATCGATAAGAAAAAAGCATTTGAATTATATCAAAAGGCAGCAAAATTAGTACTTTCAGCTGGAATAAATAATTTGGGATATTGTTATGAAAATGGAACTGGAATCAGAATGGATAAGAAAAAGGCATTTGAGTTATTCCAAAAGGCAGCTAATTTAGGAGATAGTATAGCACAATATAATTTTGCTTTAACGTATGAATATGGAGGAAGAGTTGCTAGAAATATAGATCAAGCAATTTATTGGTATAAAAGATCTGCTGATCAAGGATATCAAAAAGCTCAAAATAAATTGAAAAAATGCTTAAAAAGAAAGAGGGAGTAATATAATTTATTTTTTTTATTAAGTTATTAATGTCATGGCCATCATGTTCGACTTTCAAATGATTATTTTACCAGTTATAATTTAATAAATAGAATCCATTTTTAATTTATCATTAGCAGTGCCACAATTTATGGAAATATTCTAGTATATAAAATAAAAGTACATATAAGTCATTTCTTACATTAAATGTTTTAACTAATACATATATAAATTTGTAAATAACATTAACAAACTCCAAAATCGACAAGTCATGTTATTACACGCTTTTCTTTGTCCTGTTACTTGTTTAACATGTCTTTTATTAGCTAGTACATTTATAATTTTAATTTCACCACTTTTCATTTATGACACAGTTATATACAGTATATAATGCTGCAATACAATACATATAAATTTTTTGTCCTAATATTCAGTAGTATCAGTAATAACAAATGAAAGCTACAATATTATTCCCAATACATCATTGTGTTATTCTTGGTATAGTTTTGCAATTTTTTAATGTTGTAATATCAACATTCATTTTAATTTTCCAACAATTTGAAATTTGGCCGAATTTTCTTTAATCACCTTTTGGTTATTGCATTCGTCTTAAATAGAACAGTAAATTAAATAATTATAAATAGAATTTAAAAATACCTTATCGTTACCCAATATTCCATCAAATAAGCTAAATCAGTTTCGCAAATACGTTATTCTCCATCATCATTTTCAATAACTAATATAATTATCACCACTATCGAAAACTTAATTACATATTAGTGAAAAATTTGAAGTTTTACGCTCTAGAGAATACCATATATTTTTTTATGTTATCCCAAGTATTCCCAACATTTAAGACACTTTTGCAATACAATTCCTTTATTATTTAATGTTCTCTAATAGTATGGTACCCTTTACAAGTCTTGTTTTGTTGTTGGTACGACAATGATTATGTTTGAAAGGAAAATGAAAAAAAGTTTACGTGGCTTGTAAACTGTAAAGTATTATATATGTTTACCAAAAATCATCATCCGGGTCATGTGCATAGTGCTTCGATCCGTAGCGGTTTTATCCGGATTTTCATCCGGATTGAATTTCATTAAATTTCGCTGGCACTATGAGTTTGGCCAGAATTAGTATGAATTTTTGGGATAATAATACTTTAATGTTGGTTTAAATTATAGTCTGTTTAAATCTGAAATTCATAATCTTTCTCAGCCATAATCGTCACATGAAAATATTCAAGTTTTCATCCGGATCGAAGCACTATGATGTGCATAGATCATGCGTCCCAACAATTTATCTTTTTTCATGGGTTTGTTCCGGAATCCATTTACCCACCAAATTTCTACCCACGTGACTTTTTGCCGGCATTATGGAATTAAGATATTATCCATGTATGTGATGAATAATTGAAAAGTTTTGCCGAAAAAACTTTTTCTGCCGATCGCTCAGACCAAAAAATTAGTGAAAGAAAATTTTGATTTTACAGTTTAACTATATTTTTAACCCATAAATTTTATTACAAAATCACACTCCTCTGCATAAAAAAGTTTTATTTTTGATATAAAAATATACATTTTAATATTTTACAATCATGTCAAATATTACTACTCGTTCAAAAGCTAAAACAGCTGATAAAAGATCTTTAGACGACTCTGAAATTGTTAAAGAAGTTTATTCTGTTGATAAAGATATACAAAACAACACAATAAACGAAGAATTTAATAGGCCCAATAAGATTAGAAACATAGAAACTCTTGATAATACAGAAGCAATGGAAATAGAATTTGAAAAAAATTCTTCTTCGTCTCAATCATCAGTATCACATGACTTAAACAAAGGATCTACAAGTGAACCAATGGAAACAGACAAAGAAAATATTACTCCTTTGAGTGATCAACACAATAACTCTAATCCCAATAAAGGAAAAGCAACGGAGACATTACAAATTGAACAAATTGACTATAACGACTCTGAAACACAAAATTCAGCCACAGAATCTTTTTCAGTTTTCATCGCAAAAGATCAATTTCCAAATGAAGGAAATAACTTCGAGATAAGAAAAAAAATAAGGGACGCATTTTCCAACCATATTAATGATATCAATAAAATCAATTGGGAAAAACACCAATATCTCACAGTCTTTATTATAGAATTTTCTAGAAAAGAAATTTTTGAAAAATACGTTAGTAAACGTCACCTTATTTTAAATGCTATTATACACCCATACGACTCCTCAAACATTGAGGCATATATACAAAGAGATGTAGAAAATCAAGCAAAAAATTCAGTTAAACTAATAGATGTTCCGATATTTTATGAAACTGAAGCACTCTTAAAAAACATAATTAATATAACTGGAAAAGAAATCAAAAATTTTCACTCAAATGAAAAAAAACTTATACAGAAATTTGAGTTTGAAATGAAACGATACAGAAATAACAACCAAGGCCGTAGAAACGGCAGATTTGCCCCCAAACTACCACAATATAAGACAGTATATATTGAATTCAAAACTGCAGCAGGTGCTAAATACTTAATGGACAAAGGATGGTCCTTAGATATTGAAGATTTTAACATTAGAATCTTACCAACTAACAATAATCACGAGGCTTACTTAAAACGTACGTCAAAAGGATATAAAATAACTGGTCTTCCTAATAATACGAACGTAAAAGATATGACTAAAATAATAACCCTCATAAATGGAGAAACTTGTTCAATTCCCAAAGCCAAGACTAGATTTTGTTCTAAAATAGCATACGTCATGGTTGATCCCAAAAATTTTGAAGATAAAATTAAAAAAATCACCGCATTCAATACATCATTATATATTATTCCACTTGATAATAACGTTAAAACTTGTATACAATGTGGCTCACCTGAACACATGATACAAGAATGCAACTCTGAACATACTATTTCGCCTAATGGACAAAAATTCTTCAAACCCATCAATATCCCTCGTAACACTGCTAAAATAGTGGTTAGTAAAAGCATATCTGAAAATTATGGATCTCTTATGAAGATCAATGAAGATTTCAATAGACAAAAAATTTCAAAAACATCAACCAAACCTAATCAACCAACCAATAGAAACTCAAACCAACAACAACAATGGGCCCAACGCCAAATGATTTATAACAATCAACCAATTTCTCCTACACGCCCTAGACAGAATATCAACAATCAACCAAATAATAATAACAATAACAACGATTGTAACTCAACTCAAATTTCTTTCGATATTGCTACCTTAAATGACAAAATGAAATGGGCTGAAAAAATGATTAAAGATTTAGAAAAACAGGTAGACGATCAAAAAAAAGAAATTGAACAACTTAAAGTATTTGCGAAAGAAGTCTCCGCACACAATAATTACGTTAAAGAATCCATGGATAAAATGGTTAATTTCCAACAGACTATGTCTGAAAGAGATATTGTTAAAGACGCTCAACTCAAAGAAATTTTAATTGCAGTCATAGGACAATCACACCATCAACCTCAAGAATATCATCACCAAGAAGAGCAGTTACAAATACAATACATCCCTGAACAAAATCTGAATCCTCAAATGCAATCGAACCAACCAAGACGAAATTCCAAAGAAGGAAGAATTTCGCCATCATACCAACAATACAATACGCCACAACACAAAATATACCAGTTCAATAACTACAATCAAGAACATCATGAAATGATTAATAGCGAATATTATAACGCTAATTCACAATCGAATGAAGGATGGGACGAAAATTATGGTAGTTCATCATCCTTACATACACCTTCTTCTGCATCTTATAATAATGAAACTGAAGATATATCACAAGAAGAGCGTTTAAGTCAATACGGCAACGAATACAATAACCACGATCAAGATAATGACGTTTCATCACAAGAACAAAGCAAAGGATTTACAGGATATATAAAATCCCTTGTCCGTTAAATTCCATTCAGTACAAGTATATATCTCTCAAACTATCAGGGTGGACTAATGATGGACAACAATATTAATAATACCGATCAGCCTCTAAACCTGATCACTGATTCAAATTCTTTATTTTCTTTATCTCCTTCTCTTTCTTATTCTCAAAATAATTCACAAAATCTAAAAAACTACAAAAAAAATTATTATAATAATTATAAAAATCAAAAAAATAATTCTTCTTATTTTTCTTCTTTTAATTCACATTCGCACATTAATTTTGCAACTTTAAATTTACAAGGATCCTTTGAAAAGAAAAAAAGAGATTTAATTTCATATATGATTGAGGCCGACATTCATTTCTTATTTTTAACAGAAACACATCTAAAAGACTCTAAGAACAAGTCAAACAAAAAATTAAATCCTATTAAATTATCGTACCCTACAAAACACAAAGAACACAAAAATTTTTACATTGTACACAACCCTGCAATTGATCATTCTGCTAGTGGTGTTTCGTGTATAATTTCCTCCCTTTTATACAAACACATTCAAAGGATCGATCATATTCCTGGTCGATTTTTACATGTTACTTTCTTTTTCATAAAACAAGAACAACTACATATAATAGGCTTATATTTACCTCCTATTACATCTGCTAAAGACAACGAATCAACTTTAAAAGAGATTATTTCTTATTTAAAAACTTATTTCTTTACAAAAAATAATTACAAAAAAACTATAATCATGGGAGATTTTAATATAAATCCTCATAAATCAAATTCAACTTTTACAAATGTTCAATTAGACGACCCTATAAATTCTAATCACGTGACTTCAGCGTATTATCACAAAATCATTTTAACCATCCTTAAAAATAATCGCTTTAAAGACATTGTCAAATTTTTTAATGATACACCATCTTATACCTTTAGCAATACCTCTGTAAATACGTCTTATATTGATATTATTTTTGTTTCACCAAACTTTTTATCACATTGTTTATTTGGTACTATAGCTACTGAACCAATATGTACTGATCACCGATTAATAGTGATCACTTTGAACAACAAATTTTTTTATTCCCCTAATCAAAATATTTTAAACGATTCTCTCAATGAAATTGAAATGTGTAAAAAGAATTCACTTTCTTATAATGAAAGATATAATTATAAAAAAATAACAAAAGAACAGTGGGTAGACTTTAAAAATTTTGTATGGAATAATTTTCAATCAATTTCGACACGTTCTCAAACACACATTAACCCACAAAAACATGTCAACATTGTTTTTGAAAACATAGTACAAAGTATTCACAAAGCTATAAACGCTATAGGATTTCCTATAATTAAACAAAACATGCATCAATACACTTATTCTTATTCGATTAGAATTTTAGAAAATGATCTTTATTATATAGCATCCCTTATTAATAGATTAGAAAATTATTTTAATCCTAAAACACATCGATCATGATATTATTTCTATGATACCACTTTTTGGGAGGGACCTAAAAAATTAAATCGATTAAAAAGAATCGTTTCAAATTTAGACTTACGAAATTTATCAATTAATACACGTGATGTCGTGTGGCCAACTTTTTTGACTGCTCCTTATTATTTAACTATTTTGAATACTTTAATTAAAATCAAAACATTCATTAATAATTCATTAAATGAACAAATTAGTCATTTTCAAAAAAATAAAATAGAAAAATTTATTAATAGACGTGACGATGATCTAAGACTAAACCAGAAAAGGATGTTAACATCTTTATTAGACCGAGTGCCAGAAAAAATCAAAATGGACAAATTAATATTTAAAGATGAATACGATATCACAACTTTTACAACAGATAAGGATGAAATAGAAGAAAAAGCAATAGACCATTTCAGCAACATTGGTAAAGTAATACAATCACCTTTATCTTATGATCCATCATCACCTTTACGTGAGCCCTGGAAGTCTATATATACGCCTATTAATGTGGCATCACAAGAAAATATTAACAAATTAAATAGATTGATCACAATGGACGAGTTGCAGGAAGCAATTAAAGATTTACCGACAAAAAAGTCTGCTGGACCTAATAAGATCAGCTATGAAATTATTAAACAATTACCTTTACAAATTTTAGAAGTCATTTTATCACTTTTTAATTATATACTTATCAATGAAGTTACTCCAGATCAATTTAAACTCGCTCTCCTTTATCCAATTCCAAAACCCACTTGGTGGAACTACGATATTAATCATACGCGTCCTATTATATTATTAGATTGTTTTCGCAAACTTTTAGTTAAAATTATTAATTCGAGACTTAATTTATATTTAAGCACGAATAACATTCTCCAACATAATAATCAAGCAGGTGTACAAGGAGCATCTTGCAATGAAATTATTTTATACATTCAATCTATTATAGAACATCAAAAAGATACAAATAACCCGTTATATCTTTTACTCCAAGATCTTAGTAAGGCTTACGATAGAATAGATATTCCCTTGCTTTCGTTAGCTTTAAAAAGAATTAACATACCCCCTAATATAATCAATTTTATAGAAAATCTTTTTATAGGACATCACAATAGAATTATATTAGCTGATACTTTATCTGATCCTTATGAATTAAAATAGGGTATAATTCAAGGAGAAATAATTTCACCGCTCTTATGGGTCATTTATTACGACCCAATGTTCGCCGCCATCAATGATTCCCTATACGATGGATATAAATTACATGCAACGCTCCCGATGAATATTTATCGAAAAGATGATTATCATGAAGAAAAACTAGAGTTAAAATTGATTGGATACCTGGACGATACCACTTGGTTTGCTAATAAAATCGATGACCTAGTAGCCAATTTAGCAATAGCAGATGATTTTTATTCATTAGCTAATATCAAAATCAATAAGGAGAAAACAAAATTATTAACGAATGATAAAACACTTTTAGCAAAAGATGACAAACATATTCCATTTTATTTTGGTAATGATCTTATTAATATAGAGATAGTCCCGAAAAATAGTAATGAAAGAATTTTAGGTATATATGTTAATATCAACAACTCACCAACTTTTACCTACAAAAAGATCAAAAAGATGTTACATTATATTTGTTATAATTTACGAAAGAAAAAAATCACGCACGATCACGTGATTTACTTCATTAATAAGGTTCTTCTGCCAAGGATAGAGTATTTAACGCAACATATTTTAGTTCCACCACATATTATTAATGAGTTTAATAGAATTATTAGGTCTATCTACAAGCATTCGTTATCCTTACCAAAATCTTTTTTTAATTCTGTTATACATAATCCTATTTACCCGAATATATTAAATATTTGGGATTCACAATTGCGCGCTCAGGCGTCTTTATTAAATGCTCAAATTAATAACCCTATAACTTCTCCTTTAATACAATTTCTTATCCTAACATCACAAAATCGATTATGGACAAATGATATTGGTGAAACAACCAAATATTTCCATAAACCTATGAAATTATTTAATAGATTAGAAAATCTTTTATGTATTTTCCACTATTATAATTTATCGTTCTTTCACTCAATTAAATACCATGTTACTGGTGGTGTACATCCTATAAGTTATTTTATTTCAGATCCAAAACAATATTTTAAATTTTTACGTTCTTTAAAACATAAAGATATATTCTTTTTAGACCAAATAATTAGTAATGATGGCGCTTTTTTAAAGACATGGAAAGAAATCAAGAAAACACTCATATCTAAAAGTGGGCGGCGTCCCAAATGGTATGATTTTTTAAAGGAAAACATTGTACTCAATAATAATACAAATAGACTACAATTTACAACAAATAATAATAACCCTTCACCATCACAAAATTTTACAAGACCTAAAATCATCAAAAGTAACAACCGTAGTTTACCATGCAAAAATCAATGGACAAGCTTTTGGTCTCCCCGTTACTCTGACATTATATATATCAAAATAATAGAAAAATCACATTTTCCTTCAGATGTTCCCAAAGTCTATGGTGAACATCATATTCCTTTTCGCGACCCTATACCACAAGATCCTAGTTTAACCCCTCATTCTATGCCTAATTTACTAATACCTTGTCCAGGTTGTGATTTACATGATTCCTTTTACATAGGAGATATACGTCCACGATGTATTATTAGTTTCCCTTCAAATAATACAATTTCAGTACACGCTAATATATATAGAAAAAATAATAATAGACAAAATAACATTTTTATTGTACACAAATCACACAGTGAAACACGTGCTGATGTTTTTATAGATTACAATGAATGCATTAACCCCAATTTTAGACAAACAGAAAATATTATTCAACATTCTCCTTTGTTTAATAACATTTCACAAAAAAATTTTCAATTAATTAAAACAATTTTATTACCTTTTTCTATTCATAATTTTTTTTTCTCTTTCGCAAATTTAATTTCATCTTTTAATAGTTTAGAGTTTTACACTGATGGTTCTCTGTTAAGATATAATGATTCTTCCATCATGGGTTTTGGATGGATTTTAACTAATGATATTAATTTAGATCTAAAATTTAGTGGAAAAACAGTTGAATGGGCCAGCTCTACTAGAGCGGAAATTTTTGCAATTTTAACATGTTTAATTATCTGTCCACCTAATAGTCACGTGACCATATTTACTGATAGTCAATGTGCGATAGACACGTACTACTCACTTCAACATTATAAAATGACACCTCGAAGATTACAAAAACTCAATAATGTTCTTTTATGGCAAGCGATAAAGTGGATAATCCAATCACTTAATTTAACAATAAAACTCAACAAAGTACAAGCACATTCAGGAAACACTTATAATGATATAGCAGACACATTAGCTAAAGCAGGTTGTGAACAACCGGACATAATATCTATATCACCAGTAGGAGTAAAACCTCAGAAAGGCTATATAAAATTTAATGAAGAGTTTATCATAGATCGTAATATAAGGAAAACATTAAAAAAACCAATCAATTTTAGAAATATCGAACGTCAAATATCGCATCGCTCTCTACATATTATCAAAACATTTACTCTAGAACATCGCATCAATTGGGAATACACACAGTATTGGATGTCTTTTAACCCATTTCACAAGGCAACATCACAAACATATAGTAAACATGTTAGTTGGCGGATGAAATGCTCTAATTACGCCTTACCCACTTTAGACGCTTTAAATAGAAATTACCCAGATATACTAAAAGGTTTTGATACCTGTTTCCTATGTTCTAATTCAACAGAAACTAATGAACATTTCTGGACTTGTTCTGAATCCATAAATATTTTGAAAAATATTTTTAGAAAATACGAATCAATATATAACTCGCTTATCATTAACAACATCAATTATGATAAATTTAAAAATGAAATTCCAACAATAACCGAATCTCCAGTTTTTACTTGTTTTAATTCAAATATCTCAACTATCTTTGACGCTCCAGATCTTCATTGCATATTAATCAATATGATTCCCTTCTCTATTATTAAACCTTTCCAAGACGCAAAAATTTCAAAAAAAGAAATCAAAAAATTACTTTTAACATTCCTTTTCGACTTGCACAAAGATATTTATGAACTTTTATGGAAAGTTCTGACCTCTAAATGGAAACAATATAAATTGGATCTTGGTATTACAAAATCCACCTTCACCAAACGAATTAATACTAGACGGGAACGTAAACGTCAAAATAATTTTGATATATCTCATAATAATCCATTGAATGACAATATACTTAATATTGGATATTCCAATCCTTTTATGACTTCTACTAGAAACTTAGATGATTCTGTTCTTTGGATCTATTTAACTAGTTCGAATTTCAGACATAACCTTCCATGGATTAATTCATTATATTTAACGATAATAGACTCTATTCAATTTGACACCAATTTATTTTATTATAATATATAACCCCTTCGCACGTAGTTGCTTTTAATAGTCTATACTACTCTAGAACTATTGATTTTCTATATATATAATTTTTTTATTTTTAGGTTCTCTCGTTACGGATGGGTCTTTAGGTTTTATTTTTTTCTTTTCCCCATTCGAAGTATTAGCGTAGTTCTAGTAGTTTGAATAGTATTGTTCGAAGGGTGGGGTCCCGTAGGGGATTAATTTCCAAAATTCTATACTAGCCTATTTGTACCATCATGTAAATGATGTTTTACTCTTATTTTGTAATAGTTTTGGGAGTACTACTCTTTTAGTAATAAAATAAAATAAATAAAATAAATAAATAAATGTGATGAATAATTGTGACAAATAGGTTCTTTAACCACTGAAAAATTCTAAGTCCCAGAATACATATGAGAAATGGAACTTGAAGAGGGTGACAAATATTTTATTATGATCACGTGGGTAGAAATTTTGATGGGAAGATCAGCCTAGTCACAAATCTGGAAAATAAACAAAATAAAGTAAAAAAAAAGAATAAAAGAAAAAAAAATAACAAAAAGGAAAAGAAAGAATAGAAAGTAGATAATATTAATAATAAGAGAAAAAAAAAAATAGTCAATAAAGCATTATTCTACAAAAATCGTAAAACCAGTGTTAATTTGTAAAATTTCGCTATCTCACATTTCAGTTCAGCAAAAAAAAGAGTATTGCTAAATATCACCGCTGGTGATTCCAGAATTAGGGTAGAATTTTGGGCAGAATTAAAAATGTCATGAAACTCTGCCCGTTAATATTTGCTAATGCTGGTGCGGTGAAAATCACCTGCGGTGAGATTTAGTTATGCCCCCAAAAAAATATATTATATAAATACTGTTTGATAAAGTGGGTAGTAGATGAGAATGGTTATGTTAAGTTCAATCCATTTCGTTTCAATGCGAAATATTAACGTTAACGTTAACATTAACAGCAAACGTAAGATTAGTTTTCGATTTTTTGGCATACCCTAATCAATCTGTATCAATTTATTGATTTAAATTTCATCTTTTCTCTTTTAAATCCAAACCTTCCCATTTTAAACAATGACCGTTCAAGTAATCTTTTATTATTGTAAACCTTCAGATTCCATCTCATTGACCTGTCTGAAATATTCAAACCAATTTATTATTTTAATTATTTGTATCGTATAATTTTTAAAAATTATTTTTAATAATTGGAAAAGAATATCATAGAGAGAGGTAAGTATATGTTACTGTACAATATAAAAGTGAGGTGCAATTATACTAATAATTCATAGCAAATAATTTGATAATAAGCCTACTCAAAAGGCAGGTAGTTCTTAAAAAAAATAATTCAATTGTTTCTTAGTTTATTTAAACCATTGTAAGCTTTAGATATTAGTATCATTGCTTTATTATCGAATGCTTAATTAATTATAGGACTTATTTAAAATAAATTGTTTTGCAAAATTTTCTGAATAGTCCAATCAGTTAATCAAAGCATTAACTTTCAATGTAATAAATCATTTTTTTTATCCTATAAAATAAATTAAATATGTTGCTAAAGTAATATATTGTTCTTAAAAAATTTTCGCTTTCATATTCTTGCTATTAATATCCTTTCATCTGAATTGACTTTTTAACGTCTTATAATCTTATTAATTATCAAAAAAATTTACTGTTAAAATTTCAATTATTTGAGTAATACATTTAAGGAATATAGTTAATTTACGATAAACTGAACTCTATTTATAATTACCACAATATTTAAAATTTCAATTTTATATAATTTTAGAGAAAAATTGAAAAATTACCATAAAATTAAACGAAAAGAAATATAAAATTTATTAGGCTAGTGATTTCTATTATTAAGCCAGTACTATTATATACTTTTCCAGCTGAAACTTTGTTATTTTTATTATCACGGTGATCATATCTTCAGTAATATAGATTTTACCTTTTTTTTTTGTTAGTAATACGCATTTCTTTATTAATTTATTATAATAAATACATGTGTAGAAATACATAGGATTAAAATATAATGTTTTAAAACTATCAACTAACACTATACTTGATTTTAATTTTTATCTATTTTTTTTTTTCAATGATTACGAGTACCTGAAATGATCGACATTGAAATGATCGACAGATTACATATCATAGTACTTTAAAATGCATAATTACGTTTTAGTAATCCCATCGTTACCTGACACGACAGATTACATACTTTAAATGCAAGAATTACGTTTTAAGTAATACCAGCTTCGGACTTAGTTGTTTAACTTCCTCAATAATAAAAAAATTTCAAATTTAACAATGTCTGAAACTACTGTTCCCATAGCAATTACTGGAGGTTCATATAATGAATATATTAATTGGATTGAAGAAGCTATCGATAAAAAACATATTAGATATTACGAATATGAAAATTTTAATAATATTGAAGAAATTGGTTCAGGAAAATTCGGAATAGTTTATCGTGCGACTTGGAAAAATTCTCATAATTATTTAGCTTTAAAATCCTTTTTTAATTTAAACAATATCACAATTAAAGAAATTGTTAATGAGGTAATAATAATAATAATTAATATAAGAAATGTATATATATCTTTTTTCTTTATTATAATTCTAATTTAAAAAATTATACTTATTGATATAGCTTAAACTTCAACGTGAAGTGGATTTCCATGAGAATATTATTCATTTTTTCGGTCTTACAAGAGGTATGTTAAATATTATATTTTTTTATAATATCACATTTGTTAAATTTGAATTAAAGTTAAAATTTTTTTTTTTTTAATAGAAAATCAAAATGATAATTCAAAAAAATATTGGTTAGTAATGGAGTATGCTAATAATGGTACTCTTCAAGAGTATTTGGAGAAATATTTTAATACTCTTACCTGGAATGATAAATTCAACATGGCACTTCAGCTGGCTCATGCTGTATTATGTCTTCATGACGAAGGAATCATGCATCGTGATCTGGTAATTCATTTACATTTTATTATTTTATATAGTATCATATATGTTAATTAATTAATTTATTTGATGTAATATTAATAGCACTCTAGAAACGTATTAGTCAATCAAAATACCATCAAATTGGCAGATCTTGGACTATCAAAAAGGATTGATGAAGCAAATAATTCACGACTAGAATTTGGTGTACTAGTTCCATATATTGATCCAAAAAAATTCGGGTTTCAACCATACTCTTTAAGTAAAAAGAGCGATATTTATAGTATAGGTGTACTTCTGTGGGAGATATCAAGTGGTCAGCCACCATTTAAAGACTTATCATCCTATGATTTAATTGTACAAATTTCGCAAGGCCTTAGAGAAACACCCGTTCCTGGTACACCCAACACTTATTTAGATCTTTATACTGGTAATTATATGATTTTTTAATATTATTACGTTACTGCATCATTATATAGTCTAATGAAATAATTTTTTTTTTAGAATGTTGGAATGGAGAGCCAGATAATCGTCCAAATATTAATCAAATAGTTGCTAAATTAAAAGAATTAAAATATAATCTAACTAATGATGATTTTAGAGTAATGGTTGATGAGATAGTCGATCTTTCTAGTAAAATAAAAGATGATGATGAAGAAAAACAAAAAATACTTAGTTATCTTGATAATAAAAATGTAACATCACAAGAATTTTATAATTGGATATTAAACGATCAAGATAATACAAATTCAATTGTTTTACTTGCAGATTTTAATTATTTAGGAATTGGAATTAATTCTAATAAAAGAAAAGCATTTGAATTATATCAAAAAGCTGCAAATTTAGGAAATATATTTGGAATAATTAGTTTAGGATATTGTTATCAATATGGAATTGGAACAATTATTGATGAAATTAAAGTATTAGAATCATATCAAAAAGTAGCAGATTTAGGAAATTTATATGGAGTAAATAGTTTAGGATATTGTTATGAAGTTGGAATTGGAACTAATGTTGATACAAAAAAAGCATTTGAATTATATGAGTCGGCAGCAAATTTAGGAAATACAACTGGAATAAATAATTTAGGATATTGTTATCAAAATGGTATTGGAACTAATATTGATAAAAGAAAGGCATTTGAATTATATCAACATGCAGCAAATTTAGGAGATAGTGAAGCCCAATATAATCTTGCTTCAATGTATGAAAATGGAGAAGGTATTGCGAAAGATATTTACCAAGCAATTTATTGGTATAAAAAATCTGCCAAACAGGGAACTAAGATTGCACAAGATCAATTAAATAAACTTCTGGCATCTGAAGATATTCAATTATTTTATTCTTAGTTAATGAAACTTATATTAATAAACAAACTTGTGAGTATTTTATTTTTTACACTTTGTGGTAATAACTAATAAAATAGAAAATCCAAAAAATTAACTTAATGTATAATTTCAAATTTTGTAGTATATCAAGTTTAAAAATTGAGGGATTTAATGAGTGACGTTTATCTGAATATCAGAATATCAGAATATAGTAAATTAAATTATTTAAATGGTGCGCTTCTTAATTAGCTAAATCTCGTCCTAACGAACGGTATTTAATACACGTGTAGTACACTCTGACTCTCACTACGTAAAAAAATTATGATAGATTTATGGTTAATAAAAAAATAAGTGTAATTGGTAATATAAATAATATAAATAAATAATAATAAAAACTAGCTTATTTTAATTGCTGTGCTAATAAAAGTTTGAGTTATTAATATTGCATAGGAGGTACGGTACGTCAGAGCTGAACTTTGTAATATCCTGGTTTTTAATAATATTGATACTGCGTTCATTTTAAATTCAAAACAATTAATCTTTCCAAATTAAACGATAAAATTGAATTATTCTAACTATTTAATAACTAAATAAAAATTTGTTGTGTGTATCACATTATAACACTTAAATAATTAAGTATAAATCGTACTGTCATAATATTTTTTTGAATTATTTCTCTTATTTTAAATTTTATTTTATTTAAAAAATATTTCGTTGTATAACTTTTAATGTTGCAAAAATATTAACCAAATGTTGGATACTTCGTTCTTTAATACATAAAATATCGTTGATTTCGCAATCCAACTTCTGAATTTATTTCGGGTATATTTTAAGTGAACTATTTGACTATCAAAAAGGTTAAGGTAATTACTGTTTATAACAATATATCAATTTAATAATTTTGATTTAGTAAATCTTGTATATATTCTTTAGTTTATTTTACAAAGAAATCGAATTGAATAACGATATGAATTTAATAATAATCTTAACTTCATGTATAAATGGTAATTTTCAGTTTATATTATGAACCTAATTTCTTTTATTTAAATGTGGAATATGTTATCAAGATTGATATTATTATTATCGAAATTTATAAGAAATGATATTTATTGAAGCAAGATATTATCACTATTAATAATTGGTTTTATAATATTCGTATTAAATGTAGTCAATACTTATAATTTGCGTAGTAGTATAATTACATTTCCTTTGTATTTTTTTTCAAAAAATTTTTCTTATCATACTTTAAGAAATAATATATAATTTATAGAATCATCAACTATCATTCCAATAATCAGAGGAATTTTTGAACGTTTTTCAAACGATAAATGTTTTGTTATCATAATTCAAGTAATGCCAAAATTTCCTTTGGAAATTCATAAATACTGTACCACAAAATATGAAAAATTTTTTCTTTTTAAATGATGAATGGTGATATTAAATTATTGTTATTTAAAATTAAAATAAGACAAGATTCATTTATTAAAATAATAATAAATTTAAATAAATAAATTATCTATCAAACTATTTAATCTGAAAACGTTATGATCGTTTGCATAGCAAGTAATTATTTGCGGATGATATTAATAACGGGACTTGCCAATAAAGGAAAAATGAGAAATATTACCTAAAACCTTTACATATAACTCAATTTATCTATCGAAAATAGTAAAATATGTTCAAATAAATTTACATCTAAGGTTTAAATTTAAATGATATTTTTTTCAATTTTACTTGCGTCTTTAGATATTGAAAAGAAAAATAAAGTTTTGAATAAATTGAAATTGCGTATTTTTTTTATAAGTCTATTTCCATTATTAATTGTTTATGAAATTATTTTTTCTAATATAAGTTGAAATAAAAAAACATATGCAGGTCAGAGAAATCGATAATTTATTTAACGGATGTTCTAGAAACGTCTACATTGTAATAAATCATATTACGATATTAATAAGGTTTTTTCAAAAATAAAAAAAAAAAATTATGGAAGCCAGCTGCCAACTAGTTGCATTGGCTTTATTAATAAAATCATATTATTCATAGATTGACTAATTACATTACACATGGGATATGATACAATTACAAAAATTTTTTGAATACTTCTCATAATAGTATATTATAATAAATTATTTATCTTATCCGATAAAACAATTTTAGACAATACTAGAAGTTACCTGTTGCTCCGCACCGGGACCAATAAGTTGTTTAAATAGAAAATTTTAGTATTATAATGTAATACTAAGTAAATTAAAGATGGTTACAGCAGTTTTTTGTTTTATAATTAGGAATTTAATATAGGTAATATTTTTTTTTATTTTTTTTAGATTTAATTATAGTATCCCAGGTAACAAGATACTTAGAGCGGCCTGTACAAATCTAATATAGGTAATAATTAGTTAACAAAAATTAATAGAATAATATGTATTAAATTATAATTATAATATTAGAATGATATAAATTATATTTGGAATTGGGGTCTTCGATCATGCGGCAGATTTAATATTTTTGATTGGCCAGATTGGCCACATGATCGCGCATGATTATTTATTTACCGAATCTCATTTTCATTACAGGTTAGAGGTTCGTTTCATCGGTTCATTCGGTCTTGAGGTATTTTTTCTTTTTTCTTTTTATTTTTATTTCTAACTTACATTCTTACACTTTGTTTCTTACTAACTCTATTTCATTACTTTTCCTTCCGGTTCTGCAATAAAGGCTCAGTTGTTTTCACTTTACATTTCATTTCTTATTTTTTTATTTTTTTATTTTGTTTCTGTTTCATATTTCGTTTTTCACTAATTTTATTTCATTTTTTTTAGATCTTTTAGTTCTTTCGGTTCTACAATTAATAAAGGCATGTTTTTTATTTTTATTTATTTTACTAACTTCACTTTTTTTACTTTATTTTTTACTTGATTTCCTATCATTATCTTTTGCTACCCAATCTCCTATCATGATCATTTTTTTTATTTTTTGTCTCTCATCATTTTTCACCTCCTATTACTTCTCATTATTCCATTCTTTTCGTCTCCCATTATTTTCTATTACATCTTTTCATTTTCCATTATTTCTTTTTCTCTCCTGTTTACTTCCCATCATTTCTTTTTGTCTCTCATCACTCCTTTTCGTCTCCCATCACTCCTCTTCATCTTTCTATCACTCCTCTTCATGTCCTATTTCTCCTTTTTGTTTCCTATCATTCCATTACTCTTTTTTACTCCTTTCATCTTCTATTCCATTGTTATTTCATTTTTTATTAGCATCTTTTTTCTTGATTATAATAATTTACTTTTCTTTATTTGTATCACTTTGATTTTTTTCTTTAAAATCATAAATGTGTGATTTAAATTTAATATTTGCAAATAAAATATCATTAGATAAGATTATTTTGGATAAATATGTTTGCAAAATTTTTTTTTTTTAAATAGATCTTTGCGATAAAACTTTTAATCAGCCGTTAGCCGATTAATAAATTTACTCTTAATATATTGTACATCATGTGGCATATTTAAAAAAACCCAGGCGACAATCGTCCAGGCGACGTTTAGCAATACCCAATTATGTTTACAATAATGTAGCAATTTATATTAATGATTTGACGTTTGAGTGTAGAATGAAATTCGGATTAATTAAGGAATTGTGAAAAATAATTATCAATAAAAATTGATTAATTTTTTAGAATTATTTTCAAAAAACTTTAATGTCATGTAAATACTACAAATATTTTTATTAATTAACTAGGTGTAACCCGTCGCGCTGCGCCGGGGATAAAACTTGTCAAGAAAAGTAACAATGGTATTGCTATATTTTAGAAATAGGCTTAGTATTTTAATAATATTATTTACAGTATGATAAAAATAATCTAATAAATTTATATAATTTACATATTTATACTAATAAAAGTGAATTGTGTATGAATGTTATATATAAAATATTACATATGAAATATTGTTATACATACAAAATGTTATTTTTAAATGTGAAATCTATTTATAGAATGAAATATTTCACAGTATTCAATGTTTCTTGTCTTGCAGTTCTCACCATTATCTATAAAAACCTTAACATATAATTGCTCATGTGTAAAGACAGGTTCAGGTAGGTAAACACCAACCCTGCTCAGAGTTTGCCCTTGTGATTTATTAATTGTTATTGAGAATGCAACACATACTGGAAATTGACATTGATTCAAAGTAAAGTCTCATTATTTTTCACCTCATATTACTTCTCATTATTCGTCTCCCATTATTTTCTATTACATCTTTTCATTTTCCATTATTTCTTTTTTCCTCCTGTTTACTTCCTATCATTTCTTTTTGTCTCTCATCGCTCCTTTTC